AGGAACGAGCGAGGAAAGGAACGAAGAAGACGCAATGGGCCTCTCAAATGCTGACATGCCAGAAGAAATTAACTCACTTTATAGTAATAGAAGCCGAAAAGGTATCGGAAATTTTTCATACCAGAGTAGAGATTCCCACGCGAGCGCAGAGGATGTATACTTTGGGAAGAGTATCAAACGAAGTGACACCTCTTTGGGTAACAACAAGGGTTATGACATCAGCATCACCAATAGGAAGTCTAACCGCGAGGAATCTTTACACAATTCCCACGACTACAATCTTTCGAAGGCAAGCAGCAGCTTAAGTTTAAGTAAGCTTAATGACAGTACGAAAAAAAGCAGAAGAGTCGTTTTGCGCAGTAGTGACAATGACATTAACGCCGATTCATTGGGGGTGAATTCGAAGAGCAGCGTGAGGAGTTATCCATCCCATGGTGAAAGCAAACCAGAAGGAGTCAATAAAAAAGGTAGTCGCAGCTTTTCCGCGAGGAATAACCGCGCCGAACGCACCGAGAAGACACCAGTTAGGAAAACATCCCCCACAAATAAAGACAACGACGCTACTTCAAAAATTATGAACAACAATTTGAAACTAAAAAACGGCAGTAAGAAAAAGGAGGGAAGATGGAAAAAGGAGGAGAAGACTCCTCAAGCAGGTACCAACCTTGAGGGCTTTCAAAAAAGACGTACCAGTAGCGTCCATAGCGGGAAAACATCGAACAGTTTGGCCTCACCTAAAAAGAACACTCTTGGTTATTCTTCAAACGAATTAAACAAAAGGGACAACTCTGCTGATAGCACCTCGGATAGCAATTCCATTTTTGTCAAGAAGAAAAGAACCAAGGGACGGGAAAATGCCACTGTCACATGCAACAGCAATGACAGCACGGATATCTGCGTCGACTTGAATGATGAAGAGTCGTGGGACGACACGGAGAGGGCAAACGACAAAAAAGTGGACGCAAAGAAGAAAGGAATCGTAGAGATTATAAAGGATAGGTACAAAAAAGAGAAAATGAAAAAGAAGGGCGAAACGGAGGAAGGTGCTACGGGAAGAAAGCGGCGCTCTAGCGATAAAGATGGTAAAAAAAAAGACGTGCCGATTAATGATGAGCGACTGAGCGAACAAAGCAACAGTGACCAACTGAAGGAGCTTGGAAAAGAACTAAACAACCAAATAAACAAACTAGAAAGGGAACAAGATAAAGTTAAGAAGTTAGAATATGAGCTCATTGCGAAAAGTGCAGAAATAGAACTTGAGAGAGAAGAAATGAAAAACAAAATGGAAGAGGAAAAAAAAATGATGATAAAAAATTTGGAAGAGGAAAAAAAAAAGTGGAATAAAGAAAAAAAAAGAATAGAAAGTGAAGTAGAAAAACAGAGGAGCATCATAATGAGCAAAAGAAAACTAACCAACGAAGTAGCAATGTTCAAAAATAAAATTAAAGAATTGGAAGAAAAGCTGACAACGGAAAAGAGACAGCACAAAATAACCGTTGAGAAATTGAGAAAACAGATCGAAAGTTTAAAAATTGAAAATGAAAAGCTCAAAACGGAGTTAAAATTTTCGGACGAATATAGAAGTAAGCTAGAGAATTACCAGCAGAAAACCATTATGAAGTTAGCAACGAATGTGGTTCAGGAGAAGATGGTAAAAAATGCCGATGCGAAAAGTTTTCCTCATTTTTCAGACTACTCAGGAAGTTGTAATCCGGTGAAGAGCACGCCAAATAGGGAAAATGGAACGGCGGAAAGCGAATCGGATTCGTTATATCACCCAACCAGCAGCGATGATAAAACGGTCCATACAAATGCACTACGTGAGAGCGACCCCTCTGTTGTAGTGGCATCGAAAGAGGTAAAAGGGAAAAAAATTACGCTTAACGATTTATTTGTGCACAAAAATGACATGAAGACTGGGCACAGCGCCGCAAAGGATAATGCTTCTACAGAGAAAAATTTAAAAAAAATGAAATTCCTATTACACAAAAATAGAAATGCCCAACACAGGGACAAGGTAGACAGCGCGGAAGACAGCAGTAGCCATACTACGAATGAACATAGTAAATTTTTTAGAAAGTATTTTTTTGACCACTCCAGTAAAATAAATGACAAATTATCTTACAATAGTGGCTTCACAAATGAGGAAGAAGAAAAAAGGGACCCCCACGAACAGCTCAGGAGGGCTTCCTTCCTAACGAACTACACCAAGCAGGATAAGCGAAATGGGAGAGATGAAATGCAACGAGATGAAAAGAAGCCAAATGAAGAGGAACCAGATGCAGGGGTCCCACTGGGAAGAGTCCATGGGGATGCATCCATCACCGTTCCAGGCGAAAGGTATGTCTCATCCATGGGCACCTGGACAAATGCCTCAACAGTTAATTATCAGGGAGGACGATACCTACCCCCATAAAGTATGCTCTCCCCGTGATAAGCAAAACAAACCGCAATCTTTCCAACTCCATTTCGCACAGGCTGACGAACGAGTTAGGAATCCATATGAAGGGGGATTACCCAGCCAGGATGTCAAAAAATGGAAAGGAAACCATGCCAAATGATAGAGGAAAAAATGGCACTAGTAATGCCACCACGACGAGTAACACACCGTTTAGGCGTCATGGGGGGGAAGGACCATTCTCATTAAACACACGCAGTGGTGAACTAAAAAGGAACAACACCATTGGACGAGGCAGCAACGATGACAAGGAGTTTGCAGTGAATAACCTACAGTTGAGAAGCCGCTCGAAGATATCTCCACCTAGCACCGACCTGCTAAACCCTTTTGGCAAAAACTGGGACTTCATAAAAAATTTCAATTTTGACGAATTATTTAACAGCTGCGAAAATGTGATCGAATCCATATTTTCGTCGACCAAGAAGATGAAATATAGAAAGGCTTTTGTCGATGGGAAGGTGGAGACGTTATTTGAAGACGGCTTACGAATCATTGAGAAAAACAGAAACAAGAAAATTGTGGACCCCACAAATTTAACTATTTATCTGTATCCCAGTAAGGATTACCGTGCGCAGTTGCCAAATTCGTACACGGTAAGGAAGGAAGGATGAGTGCTCACACGTGGGAGCAAATGCGCACATGGAGGTTTTCCTCGCGTGGATGCCGCGGATACACACTTCCCCAATTGGTACACTCTTCTCAAGTAAGCTGAAAAAATTACCCCATCCTCCCTCACTCCCCTTCCTTTCCCTTAGCTATTCCGCTTTGTAAACAAAGGCATATACCAAGTGAACATACCGAATAAATGCCAACTAAATAAGTATGAAGAAAAGGGCCATATTCATTACCTGCATTTAAGTGCACTCTTTGATTAAGTTCCGAATGAGCAGAAAAATGTCTTCTTTTTTTTTCCCTCCCCCTTTTTTTTTCTTTTTCTGCTAGGTTTCCAAATGGCCAAATAGATTGCAAATATACCGATGGGCACACGCAAATTTTATTTTGCGATGGCCGGAGGAAGGAGATTCTGCCGAACAGGGAGGAATACGCCATCCTTATCAACGGTACTTAATGGAGAGGGGGAGTCTATAGACGAATAGGCCCCCGTTAAGAGTACACAGAATGGGCTTACTTAAGTACAGCACAACTTTGCTCCTGGTCATTGGGGGTGTATTGTAGGAAGTAGATATGCTGCCACGAAGAGGGCCACTACACAGAAGCGACAACGTAGAAGCCTTCGAGCCGATAAATATATTGCCTAACCTTCTCTTTCCACCCCGTACAGGTACTATCAAGAAGCTCAGTTAGCACCTTCGCGTCCACGGGGAATGAAGTCCGCATAAACTCTTTTCTCCACCACGGCCTCCGCGCAGGCCTTATGCTTTTCCATCCTCCTCTCTCTCACCATTTGGACCCATTTGTGAACTGCGACACACAAATTTGTTTTGTCTCGATGCAGTGGTTTCGTGTGCACACGGATCGTTCCTTTGGGCGCACCCCAAGGGGAAAAACGTCCCATCGAGTTATTTGTCGATCTGGGGTTTGCGCGCACACGTCTTCCTGCAGCTGTAGCAGTTTTGTGGCGATCATTCTGACGCACATCAGTTTTGTGCTGATCCATTTTGACACAAATTAGTCTTTTACTTATTATTTTTTTTTTTGAAGTTTATAAACTGGTTTGCCCCCTTTTTAAATGCCGCATTGGATGGACTTTCCTTTTTGAAACCTTGCTGTTCCGACAATGCAATTCTTAAACTTTCTAATTTTTTGGAGTCGCTGTTTTTTTCGCACTTACGAAAATGTACAAAAAACTGCCGTTAATTTTGCAACAAAATGATCGTAAAGGAAAAGAAAAAAACGGAATATTTTTTCAAGTGCATACATTTTCAAGTAACATTTTATTCGCGAAGGAAAACTTCAACTTGAGCGATTATAATGTACAGCTTGAAGTTATCCTGGCAATTTTGAAGAGGAGCCCGCCCTTTTTTGGCCATTTCCCCATTTTCCCATTATGGCATGTGACAAAGCGAGTAGGTGAAATATCTAAAACGAAATGACGTTTTTTTTTTAAGATCTCCCTTTTTTTCCGTGTTGATTTTGTTTTTTTTTTTTATTTTTGGTTAGCATATTGTACCCGTCTTCGCAGGTGTACATATTATTAAACATAACACTGCATGAACTTATGCTGTCGAGGAGATTCCTTCACCTCCCCTTCTCAATAATCCTTTTTAAACTGCGCGCACGTAGTCAGCCGCATTCTTCTTGAATTGTTCTCAAATGGGTGAGGCGCAATTTTCAAGGGGAACATTTGCCTGTTTGCCTGTGTTATATACGCAGAGGGGGAGGCATATAGAGTAGGGGATTAAATCATACGCTGAGTCGCGGAGCTGATGAGGGAAAAGAAAATCGTAGGCGAATTATTTACCCGCATAGGATGGCCTCTTAGAATGACCGCTTAAATGCCTGCGTAGGAATATCCCCGTTCGTTTGTCACGCTCTCCCTGTTTTTTTCCTTTTTTCCCTTTTTCCCCCGACGTCGTACAAAATGGACGAAAAAATATTAAACAAGTACATCACGAAGAACAGCATAAACAACATCCCATATAGCAACTTCTTCGTCACGTACAAGAGAAAACTGCAGGAGGAAGAGGAGTACCCCAGTAGGAACATCTTTGGTCATGTGAAAAAACGAGCCAAAGTATCACTATATGATAATTTCAAATCGCTGAAGAAGAAAACGTTATGTGAAGATGAAGTCTGCATAGACCACTTTAAGGACATGCGAAAGTACATCAATCAAGTAAAAGAGTTAAGAAGCATTTATAACTTTCTCTTCAGTGACCATTTAACCAACGAACATGATATTTTGCACGTGAGCAAAAAATTATGTACCATTGAATGCAATGGAATTATCGATAAGAACATCTGTTTTGAGGGTTCTGAGGAGAAGCGTAGTAAGGGGCTATACAGTTATGGCAAGAGGGAAGTGAAAGTCGCCAGCAACGCGCTCATAAGGAAGAAGGGGGTGGGTGAAATGGAGGCGCACGGAGTGGCCTTGGGGGAAAAGAGTGCAGACTGGAGAATAGGTAGCGGGACGAGATGCCCCGAAAGCAGGAAAAATATTCACATCGTTAACGGTATTAGCAGCATTGATAATTACCACATTGGGCGTGAGGAGAACTTAGGAGGGCCCCCTCGAGGAAGCAATAGAATCCCTGCCTTCGGAAAAAGAATACTTAATAGCGTATCAAACCAAGTACTCTACATCGATGACTTATCCTCGTATGACATTCTGCTGCTAGTGTCCTTAGTTACACATTTGCAAAATGAACAGAAGGAAAATGAAAAGGAAGAAAGAAACTTAGAAATAATAGCCCACATTGACGAAGTTCAAGTGAATTCACATTCGCTAAAAGAAATCTTTGGAATCTATTTTAAAGAAAAAACTTATCAATGTTTTACGTGCGGATTACGATTCACCTCAAGCTTAGAGAAGCTTAACCATTTGGAAAATCATTACCAAAAATATAAATACTACACGAGTGTCGGGGGAGAAAAACCAGGTGCAAATAGGAACAGGAAAAAAATTATTTATCTCGATCATATGAGTATATCTATTGAGTTTTTTATCTGTAAGGAGTACTCTATTCTTGAGGATGTATATGAAAATATGGTTACGAAAAATTGTAACTCCTTTAATTATAATGCCAAGTGGGAGATGGACCGGAAGACTATCCATGTGCAGAGGAACTACCAAGGTGTGTATGATTCGGCCCTTTTGAAAAGTGCCAAGAGGGGAAATCACCAGGCGAATTTTGCATCGCGTACAATCGATTTGACGGATGATGAGCAACCTGGTGATGTCGGAAATGCCTCTGGTGAGTATGCCCCTGGTCTGTATTCCTCTGGTTTGTATGCCTCTGGGGGGTATGCCTCGGGTGTGTATTCCCCTGGCGTCTATTCCTCTGGTCTGTATGCCTCTGGGGGGGATCCCAACTCGGTGCCCCACGCGAGGAAGGCAAACACCCTTGCGAAAAGTAAAAGAGAAAAACGCTCTGAAACGCTCGATTTTTTCCTATCCTCTGAGGGGGACATACTCAAGGAAGCAGAAGATGCCGTTTTCGACAAAAACGTACAGGACGTATTCCATTTTGGAAAAGAGTCTAACGAAATGGATAACTTCTTTTGGGCAAGGCAAAACAACGAGACGCAGAATAGGAAAAATGAGAAAAAAAAAAAAAACTTGTATAATGTAGAAAACGATGATAATGACTCTTTCTCAGATAATGACAACAACGACAACAACAAGAACAATAGGGGTAGTAACGACAGGGACGACGATGAGGAGATGAACTTTTTTGATTTTATTTATGGAAATCAAAATACGTATGATGTCAACCTGTCAAGTTATTACACCGTGACTGAAGACAACAATGTGCACATAAATTACATCGATGGAGAAGTCATGTTTAAAAATATCTTGAAGTGTTTAGATATAAAAGATATTAGAAGTTATGTTTTTCCCTCGTGGATCCCTCGAAGGAGCATACACAATTTTTTAGTCAGACCCGTTACAGAAATGTATGGGCAGCAAGTCACTAGTAGTAATTCATTTGCAAATCTCGCAGTCACCAAAGGGAGAGGCAATCTTTTTATGAACGAGTACTCCCAGAAGGATGCTTCCTTTGGAAACAAACTAGCCGTGCATAGTAACGTCTGGAATTTGTGCACAAGTGGGGAGTTTTATCTAAGCAAGCAGCTGGTTCCCATCAACGTTTTTTTTTCCCTCCCTGAGATGGGTGGTCGGAACGGCAACCGGGGCGAAACTGAGAAGCGGGGTGAAACTGAGAAGCGGGGTGAAATTACGACGCGGGGTGAAACTGAGAAGCGGGGTGAAACTGAGAAGCGGGGTGAAATTACGACGCGGGGTGAAATTACGAAGCGGGATGAGACTACAAACCGGGGTGAAGACCACGAAGAGGGCTACTACTCAGGCGCGGGAGGTGGGAACGCCGATCCAACGCGGGGAGAGTTCCAAATGGAGGCGGCCAATTGGGAAGCCCCTCTTCAGGATGTGAGCAAAAGGGTCAGGGACGAGGAGGGAGAAGAACCGATGATGGGGAAGTCCAACCGAATAGATAAACTCAGTAATAAACTCCACCTTTCGAAAGACGCCATGGGGGGAGAAAACCTAAGCGCATTAGAAAGCAGAGACAACCCCACGGACGATTTCGCGGTTTGTCCCTATGGTGCAGATAGCGGAGCAGGTGAACAGCAAAATAACGCCGAGGAGATGATAACACACTCCTTCCTGCACATTTTCGACGAGAAATACTTCGAACAGACGAGCGCCTTCAAGGAGACTTTTCTGTTTTACCTGAGGAGTAACTATTTCGAAATGAGCCATAGCTTTAGCAACGACGTAAACTTGAACGATATAGAAGAGAGACTATATAATTATATACAAAATAATTATACACAGAAAATGCCGATATTCGACACGAATAATTATCAACCGAATGAATGCTTTCTGTGTAAAGAAAAACTTCTGTTCGATTATTCATATGAATATAATGACTTTTACTACACGGATGCTGTGGCCGTGGATTTGAATAACCTCCTCGAGGATGAAGAGGACACAGACCAAACGGACACGTACAGCTTCAGTTTCAATGCCAACAAGATTGACGAACTGACCGATAGGTGCATTTATAACGATCCAAGTTACGACCTATTGGACAACGGAATTAGGGAAGCGGAAATTTTTTTCCAAAAAATGCAAAATGGAGGCGCATACTTCGACAACGGAGTGATCCAATTGGAGGAAGAAAAGAATGCCACTACTACTGCAACTGATGGCTACCTCGGGGAAAAGCACAAAACGGTTCACAGCTCAGTGCACATGAATGACCTCCTCCAAAATGTAAAAAGAATAATTGCTCAAAATTGTGTTCTGAAAAGAACCGTCATCGAATCAGCTTTAAAATATAATTGCCAAATGAAAAATATGAACAGGAAAAAAAAAAAGAAAAAAGATGACCATATTCAGCATTACAATAAGTTATTTAAAAATTTCTGCATTCCGTATGAAACAGTAAGCATTCTGCATGACATCCATAAAGAAAATAAAAACAGGAGCAGCGTCAGCCTTAATAATGTCTCCCAATTTGATATTAACCATGAATATGCAAATGACGAAATTGACGATTTTGTGAATTATTTCGAACATGTCACTCGACAGGTGACCAATTCGCTGTTCAAAGATATCTACAAAGGTAAAAAAATGGAGAAGCATATTTTTAGGCACATGACAAATTGCTACATAGATGACGATAATGAGAAAAAGGACAATTTTACTCATATCTATTTCCCCTCCAAAAATTATTTACACACAAACTTCACTTATTTTCACCATCAGTGTTTTAAAAATTATGTGTACTATTTTATTTTCCCATACTACTTCTTAACCAAGTTGGATGATCACCTTTTTAAGAAAATTGTCATATCTGCTGTGAGGCATTTTTTCAAGGCATACCATCGTATTTCTAAGCTTAGCATTTCTGAGCTAAAGCACGCGGAGGGCAGCCGTCCTTGTGAAAAGAAAAGGCCAACTCCCAAGGCGGGGCATCTCCAGCGTAGGAGGCACTTTTAGCGCGGCGCCCCCAGCCATCGCTTCTGTTTTGGTTGCTCCTTTTTTTTTTTTTTTTTTTGCTTTATCTAATCTATGGTTTGTTTTGTCTGCGGGGCAGTAGCCCCCCCCACCCCAGTGTGCATCGCGTATCCTGCGTTTGTCTGATATGCCTTCCCTTTTTTTTCACTTCCCCCCTACACACACACCGACTGCTCTGTCGAGTCGGCATAAATTTGCGAAAATTAGATTTTTCAAATGTGTGCATGACGGGGATGCCCCCTTTTTTTTTTAGTATTTTTTTTAATCCTTAAAAAAAAATTTTTAAATTAAAAAGTTTTTTTTTGTAGATGGTGAAACAAAAACACGATGCTGCTTCAGTGCGCTGCCATTTCACAGGGACGTTTCGCCTGTGTGCGTGGGAAAAAACGGACTTCTGTTGGACGCGGCAAGTGGCATTCGGACCGGTTCGCGGGAACACGGGGATAGGCTCACGACAAGTCTGCCGTAAATAAGACGCCAACACGGTGTCAGCGGCGCAAGCGCTCACCGCTTGACCTGACCCCTTGCTCCTCATCAGCTGCTTCTCCGCCCCGAGCAGTTAGGCGTCCAGGGGGCACCTGACGCAGTTCCTGACGAAGTCACAAAACTTGCACTTCCACTTGTCGGAGTTCTCCACCACGTCGCTGGAGCGTTTGCCGTCCCAGTAATCCAACAAAATGTTAATAGTATACAAAGTGGAGTGGTAAAAATAAGGGATGTGATTTCGAGAAAATTCAACCCCTTGGTGCTCATACACAATCTCCATTTCTTCTTTAATCTTTGGAAGTCTGAGAAAGAGACAATTGACTACTTTGGATAAATTTTCCAAGTTTTTATATTTTACCAAATCAATAGCGGTGAATTCAAACATCGGATCGCATTCGTATATTTCAAACAGCTTTTTAAAGTCAGCCTTTCCATTCCTTAAATGCTGTAGAAGTAGGCAATACGTTTGTACTTGTATGGCGGACGTCCTCTTCTGAGCAAGACTTGGCTCCTTCTTTTCCTTCCTCGTTTTCGTATCAGAAATAATCAAATATTCCCTCCTGGAAACGTTATCATATTCAATTCTTAATTCGTCAATTATTCCTCTTAATACGTAGCCTCTAATGATACCAAAAACCCACACTTCTCTTGCCTTCTTATATTCATATAATTGTCCCAACAGGGTAATTGTGTTCAGCAGGCGGTATCCTAGAGACTCTTCTCTAGTATTCACTTCCACATCAATTATGAGATGATCTGCTTTTTCTAGCACTTCATGTCTTTCTATACCTAATCGCATTGCTTCCGTTTCTCTCCTTTTCCCTGTTGTTAGAACTAACTCCAGTTGTTGTTCACACCATAGCTGGGCTGATAAATCCGTGATACTTAACTTATTTTTTTTGTTGAACTTTTCATTTGGGGACTTGGATTCTTTGTATAATTTTTCCGTTTCGTTAATTTGCTGCTCTTCTAACAGGTCCTCCACGTCGTTCACCAATTGGTCAAATTCGGAGATGGGCGATGGGTTGTCGCTGTGTGCGGTTTCTGTTGACGGGACCCTCACGATTTTGCACTGCTTATCATTTTTCACGTTTTCGCCCTCCTCCTTTTTCCATATTATGTTATACGTCGTCAGCATTGTGTCTGCGGTAGGGGGTGATAACGAGTGGTAGGAAGTGGTAAGGAGCGGTAAGGAGGGGTAGGGACCGCTACGAATGCGGTATGCGGAATGGAGTTTCCAACACACGCCAAGTATTGGATGGGAAAACTCCAATCCTAATCGTAAAAACTCCCCCAAAGGGTACGCACAAAATGGAGACTCATAGGCGTTCCTAGACAAATGTATTGCTCTACCTGCGCATGTCCCTACGTGGTGTATTTACCGCAGGTTCCAGTGCTGCTAGACGTGCATTCAAAAAGGTAAGAAAAAACGGGGCGGGGATTCCACGGGGGAAACTTCTCGTGACTACCAAATAACTCCTGGATGTTGAGAAGCCTTAAAGCGGATAAATGTAAATGCATACAGTGGAATGCATTATTCACGTGTACTTTCGAAGGGAGAAATGCACCTATGCCAACCTGTAAAGCGCATTTGTGTGTTTCACGTCGTCAAAACGTTTTGCGTATTCTCGTCAGACGATACGCAAGGAAAAATATTTTCTCTCGCGGGGGATACTTTCATGCCCAAAAAAAAATGAAGAGGTGTATGATTTTGTGAGAAATAAAAAAAAAAAAAATTGCCCCGAAACGACGTATAGGTACACATAAAATAACACGAAAAAGTGAAGGATAAAGAAAAAGGATAACTCCCACTTAAGCAGCGAGTTAGTATGAATAATAGTGAGAACCTCTTTTGGCCCATTCGCATCGCACGTGAAACACTGGACATGTAGAAAAAACGATAATTTCCTATACCAAGCGGCGCATTGTGAAAAAAAAAAATAAAAAAAAGACGCTCATCAAAGTTACCCAGAAGTATGATTTAAAAACTTCCTCCACGACGTACGTTTGCTGATGAGGGACATTCCTTTTAGCACTCCTATAAACTGGTGTAGGACGCCGCTTGGAAATTATTTCCAAACCATTTTTCAGCAAATGCGAAAAGAGGACCAAGTGGTTTCGTAGAAAGGGACTATGTTCATATAGGCGAGTTCTGCCAGAGCGATAATCATTGTCGGCAATGCCATTCTTCCCATAAGCAACAATGGACGATGCGCGTATGCCCAGTTGGATTAACACCGCCAAACCTAGGGCCAAAAGAAAAATTACAGACAAAAAGTGTGTCAGCTCACTCTTCTAAAGTTTTAAAAAAACGTCACTGTAAATACGAAAAAAAAAAAAGTAGTGATCTCGCAAAATTAAAAAAAAGTCTGTAAGTATATTTTTTTTATAATTATGTAGGGTTTCAAAATGGGCCACATGACGCGCGTAAAATTGCATTGCATATATGCTCCAAGCACAGACAACAGTTTGGTTAACCCGGTGCGTCCGTACGTACTCAACTGACAGAGGGACACACAATGAAGGCGTACCACAGCACAGGGTGGACTCTTCTCCACGCAAGGGGGGGAAAAAAAGAAAAAATGTAAAAAGGGATGTCGTCTCAACAAAGTTACACACGCTGTGTTTACTAAAAAAGGAAGGTGCCACGCATTTCGCTGCTCATTTCGCTGCTCATTTCTCTGCCCATTTCGCTGCCCATTTCGCTACACCCACTTGGAATTTCCCCCGAAATGCAACGAAAAACAAATGGTGTAGAGTGCCTCCCATCGCGCGGGCCCCCCCACTCAACCGCAACGAGCCGTCTCACCCTGGCGGAGCTGATCGTTGCCCTTAAATAAATACACCCCATTCCTTTGAACGCAGAACTCTTTTAAGATGTTCCTAAAATAAATATCAGGAATGGTTAAGGGGGATTGAATAACCATTTCAACATGCTTGACGATTTCACTTTTTGAGAAAACCGAATTATGGTTCGTTTGGAAAATGTTAATAACAGCGTTTCTGCATTTGTTGAACTCGCTCTGGTTCTCTATTCTCAGAAACCAGATATTGTTAATTTGAAGGGCGATGTTATTTAGCGCTTTCATAAAGAAGGGTAAATCAATGTTGGTATTTTTGGCGCCCTTTCTTATCTTATTATATATATCATCAAAAGGTATGCAATTATTGTGTAGCACATCGGTGATGTTTTTTTCCAATGTCCTAATGTCCAGTTTGTAATCATTAATTATGATTTTACTATTTTTATAAGTTTGAATAATTTTGGCAATTTTGACCATTTTTTTTTTCCACTTCTCATTAATGGACAGACACAACTTGGTATTGTTATTTACAAAATTTTCGTCCATCTTGTGCTTGAAAAAATAGCCTGTATATTTATATTCGCATAGGGGGAGGAACATCTCTGAGAGTACATTGTTGGGTAGGTTGGTGGCCTTTTCGAAGTTTTCCATCAGGATGGATGTAGAAGAGTTGATTTTTTTGGAATCTGCGTCGGGGTCTGCGTTTCTGCTAAGGTTGCTATTACTATCCGAATCGTTACGCTTATCGTCCTCCCCTCTCTTCCTTGCATCGTTAGGACCCTTTTTGCCTACCCTGATGTCGTACACATGCTTGAGTAAAATGGGCTCTACCTGCTTGAATATAATCACCAGTAATAAATCGCGAACACTTATTTTGTAATCGACGTAGGAGAAATTTTCCAACTCTTTCTTCCTTTTTTCACTCTCACTTTTGGGTTCCTTTCCTTTTAAAAATTTATATAAATATTTCGATTTGATGATCCATAACCCTAGGACGTTGACACAATATTTCTGGACTGTGTTTAGCAAAATATCCTGATCGATTTTTTTTTTTATAATTTTCTGAATTTCGCCAAACCTCTGAACATTTTTCAATCTCATTATTTTTAAAATTTGCTCATCCAGGTTTAGCGAAAAGAAATAGAGCATATTCAAATTGGTGCTCACGTCTTCTTCATTTCTGTAGAGGCTGCTACTGTGCCTACTGCTGTCCTTCAACTTGCGGTCTTTTACATTTCCATCGGATGGCAAATGACTTGTGTTGTCTTCCTTGGCGTTTTTGCACATATGATTTAGGTACAGCTCTGCATCTTTGTGGAACATTATTTGGAGGTCTTGCTCATTAGGGTTTTCTTCTAAGCTGTTGACATTGGCGGTGGTGCTTCCCTCCCCAGGGTTCTTATTACTATCCCCCGCGTCATCCCTGCAACTAAAAATATCATTTTTCTTGTTCACATTGGTGAAGAGTTCTAACATTTCGTAAGCCTCCAGGGAATCCGATTCATAAATATTTACAATGCTTGTCCATTGATGTTCTGGAGTTACCGGTTGGTTGCTTTCACTTGGGTACTTACTCTCTCCTGGTTCGGCACTTTCTTTTATATTGTTTGCCTGGACAGGTTCACTGGGGTTGCTTTTCCCTTTCACGTCCGTATCCAATTTTATGTTATCATGCCAGGGCTTAAACTGGTAAATATGCTTCAAAGGGACCATATAAATTTCTTTCTTCTTCTTAATTTCATTGTATTGAAATAGGCAAACGCAGTTTGTTATATATTCGCACAGAACACTCGTGCTGATTAGTCTGCTTACATTCCTGTCATTCTCTGGGTCTCTATAAATGGTAATCGAATCGTGAGAGTCTTCCTCCTTCATATATTCGTGCAGTTTGTATTCGAAAACGTATGTCTCTTCATTCATATTGCATTTACTTTTTATTTGTTTTAATTTGCTATAATTTTTGCAAGCATAAATCTTTTGGATATTGCTCGTATAGTTGTACGGTCTGTATTTTGGCCTCAGGGGGTACTGGATAAGGTACGTGTTAATATTGTTCAGGTTATTTTCGTTAATATTGTTCAGATAAATGTCAATTTCTTCTTCAATTTCGTCATCATCCTCCGAGTCGGAGATCCTCGAGTTGTCATCAGACTCTTCCTCATATTTGTAGTTGCTTAATTCCTTCAGGTCTTCGTTCATTGTTGTTCTGTGTAGTCGTAGAGGGTTGTCACAGCGTCGTTGCAGCGCTGTTACAGTGTTGTTACGGCGTTGTTACATGGAGTATATATTTAGCGTTTCTCCGTTATATATATAGTGCTTCTTTCTTCCTTTTCATTTCAGTGCGGCTATTTTGCATTCAGCAGGGGGGACGTGGTGGGTTCACCCTTCTGCGACGGTGATCAGTTCAAGTCTGCAATTTATAACGTCCGCCAGGCTGCCATCATCTGTGACTGCTGGAATGCTCCTCTCTCGCCTTCAACGCTTCTCAAGGCAGGAGCTGCGGCGGGTAGCGTACTGCCTAATGACAAAGTGGCAGCCTTGTTCGTTGCCTTGTTTTGTATCCTACTATGCAAAGCGGTATGTATATTTGTTAAATGTACACTTGCGTAGTAAATGGGATGCATGCCTAAGGGGAGAGCCACAGAAATTGTTTCCTTCGTTCCGCAAAGCAGATACGGTTGTTCTCTACATTAGCACTTGACGCGAATTCCGTTTAGCTAGTTAAGAGGGAGGTGGGCCTAAATGGTGCCGCTGGGCCGGCGATTTAAAAAAAGTACTATCCGCCGGGGAGAGTTTCCTCTCTCGTGCAAGCCGTCATTTGAGTTTTGCCGCTTCAACACTTCACCGCTTCATCGGTGCGTTCTCCCGTTTGATTCTTCCGTTTGGTTCTGCTGCCCCATTTTGAGGAATTCACTTAGGCGTTCCTTTCCAACGCCCCTTGGGCACATTTTTGAAAACTCCTTCCCGTCACCGCTGCGGTGTATTTCCCGGCGCATGCAACTTCGCATCGTCCAAAACTGCTTTTTTTTTTTTTTTTTTTTGAATTGTTGCCCCACATGGGCAACTCCCTCATCAGAGAAGAACTTCACACTCGCAAGAAATTAAGGAAAAAAAAAAAAAAAACGAGAACCTTTGATCAAAACCTCCCTGCCGTTTTTGTAAAGAGAGAGTACACTCCATGCGAACGCACTGCGCAAGGACACATCACTTGGAAGGTGTCAATCGGACGAAATGGAAATCACGTGCATGAACAAATAGGCATGGTTAAGTCCATGTACCATTTCTTACTCTTTCGTCCCTCTTGTTTTTACCTCCGATTTGAGGAACATTTCCGCATAAACTGTATCACAGAAACGGAAAGAAGTGTGACGAGGAAGCATCACCCGGGAAGTGGTCTTCATGATTGACCATCCAATTTTGGCGCTACCTTACAAAGAATAATGCCCCCTTCTCTGCCAAGGTAGCGCAAGCCATGTGTAGCATAACATTGGGTAGTATATAACGTCACCCATTTGAGGCATGACAGAACAAGTCGGAGAAGGGGCATAGCAGGAGAGCTACCAAAAAAGGGATCCCCTTAAACGTTGTCATCTTATGGGGGTGTGGAGGAAAAAATGAAATCCAACTCGGCATAACACATTGACTGCTGTTAAGTGTTCCATGTTGTTACTATAAGGGGGGGGGAGAAATCCATTTATGTCCGGTCATATTCTGCGTGGCTATACTGCTCATATGCATAGACGCACGGATCCACGTCTGTACACACACAATTGTAGTCGCTTCTTCCCTCGCATACTCATCCGCAGGCGGCACGCCCAGAGCAGTCACTTTTCCATGAGCCATCCGAATTCACACCCCCTACACACACGTTATCCCCTAAAGAAAAATGGAAAGTCACCCATTTGCTAGCGCCAAAAATGAGTCGGGCAATGCGCAGTTCTCAACAGGCTTAGGAACCCCAATGATCATTAACAACGCCTTCAGTATGAATAACCATACAACATTTGATAAAAACGACTTGACCAAATACTTTGACAGTTTCCTCAACAAAAGCAACCATCCGTACATTTGTTTGATCCACGTTTTTTTTAAGATCCTCGCCCTGTCGCTGTAATAAATGCATGGCTCTGTACGCATGGTTGGGCATGCGTATATATGCTCATGTAGAGAGGGAGACATGTCAGTAGTTGCCTTTTCAAAATGGATTGCTTACATCTTTTACGGCACCCGGCGAGTTTAAACTGTTCACTTCTTTTTACCAAATGGGTTAACCTTAAAATAAATTAAAATGATTCCATTTTTTTTTTTCTTCTTTTTCCATCTTGATTTGCCCCCCACCTTACAGATACTTCATAGGACCTCTCCTATTTCGAAGTGAAAAATCGAATGAACATGACTTTATAATCACGTTTGCAGTTACCCTATTTTTAGTTTCTCTGGATTTTTATTTGGTTAAAAATATTACCGGCAGGTGGGTAAAAAGAGCGAAAGGGGGGTTATGAAAGGGAAGGAACCCTTCCCCCCGTCGCGATGCATTCCTGCAGGTGTAGACGTACACACATGCGCGGATATAATGGCGTGGATATAATAACGTGCGTATAATGACGTGGATATAATGACGTGGATATAATGACGTGGATATAGTAACGTGGATATAATGACGTTATTTTTTCTTTCTTTTTTTTTTTTCCTCCCCTCTTTTTGGTCTTCCCTTTAAGGTTCCTGGTGAAGATGATATGGTGGATCGACGCCAATGAAGACTACTCCAACAAAATAATTTTCAAGTCGTCAGAAGAAAGCCTGTTGAATGGCACAGACAAGAAGGTTTTTTGGTATGCCCTCTATGCAAACTTTCTCATATGGCTGACTCAGACCTTACAGATGTTGATGTCGTTTCAGTTCTGCTGGTTTTTGCTTTGCTTTCTGTGCCTATTTCTCTCCTTTTACAACTTATTTAACTTTTGGAAGTGCTCCAAGGAGCAGCCTAAAGTAGTAGACACCTTCTTGAGCCGCATCAATTTGAACCAGTTCTACAAGAAAGTGTTCAGTGGATAGCTGTTCCGTTGGTAAGCAGAACGATTCTTCGTCACTACGTACAGATGTAATCCAATGGGTGTATGGCGCCTTCTCATCGCCCCTGTTCTCAGTTACGCAAAAGCTGGCTACTTACGGACTCGCATTATTGATACGCATGAGCCCCTCGTGGGGAAAGGGCACATGTATGTCAGGACCACTACGGGGACGAGACAAGCTTTCTCTGCTTCACTCATCTTTTCAAATCAGACATTTTTTTTTTGTGTGTGTTTGAAGGATGCATTTATACATATTGAGAGAACTCACGTCCTTTTAATTTTGCAAAAGCTTCTTTGTTTTAAAGATCATTTTTCGGTGTTGCACGGGGGGCAGAGTGCATGCGAGGCTCACGTGTATGAACACGCACAGGATAACACTCCCCATTCTCCATTCAGGGGATAGCTCTCTCCGTTTTTCACGCACAGAATACATATATAGCCGATTCACGGCGTATCCAAATACGGTGGTACCCCCGAAAGGGATATGCACGTGAAGGCGAAAGGAGCGACTTATTTTATCAATTCTTTTCACTCCTTAAGGATAGGACGAACGTGGAAAAAGATTGTCAGTTTGTCCGCTCCCCCCTTTTACAGTCGTTGGAAAATTTAAAGTTTCCATAAATCGCGTAAGTGTAACTACGTCCATTTTTTTCAAATTAAAGCTACACCAACGCATAGAGAAAAATAGTAAAATATTGCAGCGTTGAAAAGATGAAATTCAATCCGCGCGTTCTCGTTTTGTTGCGCTGTTGATACTTTTTGCGCATTATTTTTTAACACCTGTTGGTATGTCAATTTTTTTTTTTTTTTATATGACCAAATACTTTATCTTAAATGTGCACAAAATGGATTTATTTGTTTTATTTCACCCCTTCGCGTGGTGATTTATCTATTTAAAGAAAAAAAAGGATTTATCCTCCACAGCACGATGTTATTTTCCACAGCGGGATATAAATGGTTAATCTGTTAGCCCTTACGCCATGCACCGCAAGCGACAACTAGCTAAACAAAACAATTTCCTCTTCCCCCTCTTTGAATTATTCAGTTCGTTAACGCAGCATGGTAGCAAAGTGGTATCCCGCTTCTACTGTCCAGCATATGACAAAATTTGCCATTTTAAAGATCCAAGCGATTGCCTATATGTTTACATATGGTGAAAAAAAAAAAAATGCACCCTGTGCTATCCACTCACCACTCGCCAATGACCGTGCCGAACAAAAGCGGAAAGAAAAAAAAAAAAGGTTTCTGTGGCTAGCATGAGGACACTGGTTGTGCCCCCCTCCCAGGCACAGAATGTAACGCGACGGAAATGCACGCAAGTGTAAGCGTGCGTTCTGCGTTATTTTCCCCTCGTATTCGTTCGTTCGTTCGCTCGGTTGCTCGCCGACATGTAACTGTGCTGCAGTGCGCTGTGCTGTACATATATGCCGTATTCATAAACATTATCTCTACATCGTTCGGGACGACAATTTATAACTAACTTGGATGGGAACTCTCCACTTTTCAAAATTGCTTCTCTTCTGTTCTCTTCTCTTTTTTCTTTTTTTTTTTTTTTAATTACTCATTTTTCTTTTTCATTTTTTACCTTCTTTTTAAATCCCTTCGATCATGCGAACGGGAAAAATAAGCCAAAGTGAAAAGGGAGTCAGCACCGTCAATTCCCATTAGCCAATATCTTTCATGAGATTAAAAAAAAAAAAAAAAACAGTTACATATAATAAACGACGTAACGCGGCAAATCGGCGTAATATGCCTTACCAGGAAAGGCATAAAAAAAAAAAGCTACCCCCCTTTGCGTTAGCCCTAGAGTTACTCTTCTTCATACTCCAGAAAGTGGGACATAAAAATATGTTCCCCACCCAGATGCAGGGCTATTTAAGAAAAGCCCCCAAAGCACGTTAAAGCAACGAAGCAGGAGAGCAATTGGCCAAAGTGGGGATATTGATAACGGCTCCTTTCAGCTTGCGCGTTTGCTGCGGGGAGTTATACACCCCAGTCTTGCCGTGCAGGAGTTAGAGCGCCCACATTTCTGCGTGCGCCTGCGCCAAAGGGAAGCCTCCAAGCCGATAGCTCCTGAAGAGGAATTCACAAGGTCATACCTGTAGGCAACTTTGCCCCCAACGGTCGAAAAGGATAGTGTCCTACCCCTGAGTGAGTAGAATAGCACCCCGAGGAAGAAAAGCACCCCTCCCCCCCGTTGAAGGCCCCCCACATACAGTATAATCAAACAGACCAGTTGACAAAATGACCATACAGGAGGAAAACCCCAGTGGCGAAAAAACCAACGATGAAAAAACGAATGACAACTCGAAGAATGAAGGGTTGAAATTTTCACCCGCTGATCAGGAACAAAAGAAAGACGACACAAAGGTGGAAAATAAAGGTGACGTCAAAGCGGAAAGTAAAGATGATGTGAGAAGCGAAGGAAAAGACGATATAAAAAGCGAAGGCAAAGACGACGCGAAGGCCGCAGAGGGCGGGGAGGACGTCATGAACATGCTGCTGAGCTACCTGCAGAAGAATAAGGACGATCCGAAAGTCATGCAAACCATGATGAGCGTGATGGGCGGGCAGGGAAAAGACGGTGCAGCGGGGCTCAGACAGATGAAGTTGCCCTTCAGCATGGTCAACGGGACAGAGCCAGGGAACGACAAAGCAAATGCAACGAGTGGAAACAAGAAAGACGAAGAGGCAGCGCAAGCCGATGGTGACAAAAAAACGAAGGAGGACAAAGAGACGGGAAACAAACTGCTAAATCTGTTCGGTAGAAAAACTGAAAAAAGCATTTTCCCTAGTTTTAGCTTTTCCAGTGGATTAAACAACACAGGAAATGACACAAAGGAGGGATCCTCCGGTGCAGGTAGCATTTTTGGAGATGGAAAAAAAAGTTTCTTTGCTGAGTTTGGCGAAGGTAAAAGCCGCAATGGTAGTGGCAGTATGAACAAGTTAGGCTTTAGAGGATTCGGCGGATTCGGTAGCACCTTTGGGAGTGGGAAGAAGAACGAAGATGGGGTCTCTACAAAGGGAGAAACAGGAAACGGGATCTTCACCAAGGGAACAAGCAGATCAGGTCCCAGTGCAAGTAATGAGAAGGAGGATGGCACTGAAAAAAGCGATACGGTGATGAAGAAAAAATTCGAAACCTTGGTTGATGACGACGATGATTACATAATAGAAAACGCAGAAACGAAGGAGCCACTGGAAGAAGAAGCAATCTCATTGATCGAGAATATGGACATAAATAATGAGAACAATGCGAAGGAGAAAAAATTAAGTAACTTTGATTTCAGTAAAGCGCTGAATAATGATAGCACCGACGAAGTGAGAGACATAAAATTATATCGTTCGAGAAACACATGGGAAGAATTAAACATAGATAATGACCTTATACAGATTTTGACGTATTTAAAATTTTTCGCACCTTCCAAAATACAAGGCCTGGCTCTTCCCTACATTTTAAATAGTAACAAGAATTTAATAGCCCAGGCTCAAAATGGGTCAGGAAAAACACTTACCTTTGTCATTTCAATGCTGTCGAAAATAAATCGAAATGAAGGGATGCTGCAAGCCATGTGTATATGTCCAACGAGGGAATTAGCTCAACAGAATTATGAAGTTGTGGGGAAGTTTACAAAATATCTACCCGTGAAAGTTTTCCTAGCAGTACCACTATGCGATAAATATGATAAAAACGCGGGGTTCCAAATATACGTGGGTACTCCAGGAAAGACGCTGGACTTATTGAAGAGAAAATTTGTCGATACAAAGAATGTATCCATTTTTGTGCTGGACGAAGCTGATGATTTAATTGATATTAAAAATAATATGTCTTCCCAGGTGGAAAGTATCAAAAGGTTTCTACCAAAACGTTGTCAAATTCTTCTCTTTTCTGCTACATATAATGAAGACGTACGATCCTTTGCTGATAGGTTTGCTCCAAATGCATCCAAAATAAGTGTCCGACAGGAAGACTTAACTCTGAAATGTGTGAAGCAGTACTACCTCTTAACAGAAAATGACGAGCAGAAGTATTACTACCTCTCTGAATTATACTGCTCCATGAGTATCTCTCAGTGTGTCATTTTTGTTAACTCGAAAGTGTCTGCATATAGTCTGTACCAGTTTATGACGGAGCGTGGCCACAATGTTACTCTCATTTGTGCCGATAGTGTAATTAGCCGATTTACAAGAAATCAAGTACAGAAGGCAAATGTGCTAGGCATGGACCCCAAAACTAGGGATACCCTCATGTCTGATTTTAAGAATGGCGTGTCCAAAGTTCTAATCTGCACCGATTTACTCTCCAGGGGAATCGACGTACCCACCATCAGCTTAGTTATCAATTTTGACCTCCCCTACGTCTATCAAGGAAGAATTTCAGAAAATTATGGCAACAGTTTCGCCAACAGGAAAGTGAACATGGAGACCTATATTCATCGTATCGGGCGGACAGGAAGATTTGGCACCAAAGGAATGGCCATCAATTTTATAAGTAAAAATCAACTCGTTCATATTAAGCAAATAGAGAAGTACTACCAGTGTGTCATTTCGGATTTGGAAATCGATTCTGAGCTTATGATCACTTCCGCCTCAAAGGGGACGAACTAATTTGGGGAAGAAATAATCGGGAGAGGGGATGGTCCCTCTCGCCCCTCTGCCAAGACTACTTTTGTCCTCGCGCGGATGGGGTGGGGCGAATCTATTTGTGCGTACTTATACGCTGGAAAGGGAGTGGCGAGGCAATAGGAAACCCCATCACATGGAAACTACGCCTAGTTGGGGTAGTACCAAGGCCTTTGCATAAAACGTCACCCAAAGGGAAGGATCAGCGGAACCCCCCACCGCAGCGCTGCTCCGTGGCTTCTGCGTGGGTTCTACGCTACTTCTTCGTTTCGCTCATTTTGAAATTCTTCACGCCAGCCTGACGCACACCATTTTAAGAGTTTTTTTTTTTTTTTTTCTTACCACCCCGTTTTGTTTGTTCCAATTTTTAAAGCGTTTATCTGCATATACGCTGCTGTTCGTCCGAACAGGAAATGGTAAACCGGGCCAACATAAGTGCTGCGCGTGTGTGTGCATATTTATGCGTATTATCTGCTTTTTTCAGCATGTTTCATCATTTTTCATCATTTTTCATCATTTTTCACCTTTCTTTAACCTCTCTTTTCCATGCGCCCAACGTATGCCTCCTCCCCTGCACAACTTCGTCTCAGCCGAGGGGTGTGCCCACGACATGTCCACTTGAATGATGGGTAAACTTTCTCACAAGGCAGAATTAAAATTTTGCGAAAATGTTCACATGTGGGTACTAGCAGTTGTCCCTATGTTTTGCCGATGGAGTGGGATAAACCACGTATTGCCTCTTAAAGGAGAGTACTCCGAGGAACCCCCCCCTACAGATATGCAACAGTGCATACGTGTGGTTATTCCCGTCCGTACACCTTCTCACGACATCCTCCTTGTGGGCGGTCCCCCAATTTCTGAAAACAGCATTTCTTCACAAACGAAAATTGTAAATATTGTAGTAATGGATGAATGAGTGCCACTATCAAAGAGTGAATTTTTTTCCTAATGAGGAAGCGGTATATAGATATTCCTGCTCAGCAACATTTACTAATTCGCTCCTGGGAGGAAAAAAAAAAAAAACTTCCAATCCTGTGATGCGTTAAAAGGATGCATCCTCCTAGCGTGGCGCTAATTATGCTTGAAGCTCTCCTCTAGTCAAAACTTCTTGCCAACCGCATATCATCCGCAGAGCGATAGGGAAGGGAAATGCAAATCGGGTAACACATCTTTGTATGCAAAGTGAGCACAGTTGGCTAGCTTGCATAAGTGGAAGTACTAAGGACCATCACTCCCCTCTACATGTATGAGAACACCTCCACAAATGCTTGGGGTAATTCTAAAGAACGCCCTCCAGAGAAGCAGGTATCACATTACTGCCCGTTTGAACCGTCCCCACATAAGGGTCCCACAGTTTAGCAGCCAAAATAACTCCCCCTTGGCCGTTGAAAAGGACCCTTTCTACATTAACCCATTAAGGAAATTAACCTGCATAGGATGTGGAGAGTTTCTCCAAACGACGGATGAAAGAAAATCGGGGTTCGTCCCCTTTAGTGTGTACGAAAAGTACAGCAGTGGGCGAATAAAATTCTACACCAAAGTGAAGGGGGAGGAAGTGACTTCAGTTCCTGACGGGGTGAAGGTGGATGTGAATGACTTCCCCAGTTTTCGGGTCAAGACGAAGATTATTCTCTGCAGAAGATGCTATAGGCTTCAGCATTATAAATGTTCCAACACACAATGTGAGGTGGATACGAACAGGATTGAAAATATTATCAAGTGCAGGACGCAGCTGCAGGAGGAGGTGAAGCGTCGGAGGAAGGGGGGAGGGACCACAATAGGGAGGTCCCCCTCTACACAGAATGAACCGGATGAACAGGCATTCCGGGGGAGCATCCCTCCGAGTTGTACCACCCCCACAGGGGAACTTTCTGACGAAATGGGAATGTCCCCCCCCGTTTGTGAAGGCGCTTCTCTAAAGGGAGACCTTCATGAAGGTGCACCCGACGAAGGTGATTCCCCCGCCGAGATGGTGAACCCAACGGAAAGTTCCAATCTTAAAAATGAAGTGAACAAATTGTTGGAACGGGTTGTGCGTGGGAGGAAGCATAAATGGGGGGCCTTAGCACCTAGAAAGGGAGGGCAAAAAGAAGGAAGCACAACGGAGGGGAATATCCCGAATGATCGCTTCACCAAAGTTGAGGAACAAAGAAAACAAAACCGCGTAACGAATGAAGCGGGAGGGGATAGTCCCACCCAAATGGAGGATACAGGAGTGACTTCCCAACGAGAAGACTACTACTACGACCCGTCGTACAGTATTGACCAGAGGAGCGTAAACATCTACGAGAAAAAAGACATCCTAAAAAAAAGAAATAACATGAAAAAGTTGGACGTGGAAAAAATGCAGGTCAGCACAGCCAAGTATGTCCAAGCGGACAGAAATGAGGTGATGAATAATTTGATAAAAAAAATGAAAAGAAAATCTCTAGTCCTGTACCTAATCGATATAACAAATATTGAAAATACCATCCTCCCAGAGCTCTACATAGCGTGTAAAAATAAAGACATAAACATCATATGGCTAGTCAATAAAGTGGACTGCCTACCTAAGTCAACAAATCTGGACATGGTAAAAATCTGGTTCCGCAACTTAGTAAGGCAAATAAAAAACGCCCATATAAATGATTTAATATTCATTTCAGCTTTAAAGTTTTACAATCTTAACATGTTAGAGGAAAGAATGAAGTACTATGTCGATCTAGAAAAAGGAACAGACATCTACATAGTCGGGTGTGTGAATGTAGGGAAGTCATCCTTCGTCAATTCTTTCTTAAAGTACATAAATTATAAGCACTTAGGAGATATTTATAGTAGGAGAAAAAAAGGAGGCGTTACCACATCGAACATTCCATATACGACATTAAATTATAACACTTTTCAATTAAAAAAAAATATTAAAATTATCGATACGGTAGGGATTCCAACAAAGTATCAATATGCTTCTATCCTGTACAAAGATATAGACCTAAACAGCATTTGCTTAAACAAACGAATTCAGCCCTTTACGTATAAATTGAAAGAAAATTCGTCCATCCTATTAGGTAGTCTTTGCTATATCAATTTAGTGTATGGTCCCTTCGCCCTGGTGACTTTTTATATTTCGAATAGGGTCACCATTCACATGTGCAGAAGTGAGAAGGTGGAAGAATTTTTGGAGAAAAAAAAATGCTCCTTCTTGTACCCTCCTCATGTCAAAGCAGATTTTGATCTTCTAAAACCTTTTGTCAAACACACCGTTAAAGTCTTTGGGAAAGATTTCGAAAGCATCGACGATATCGTCATTTCTGACTTGTGCTGGTTCTCAGTCAGTGGCAGGGGGATTAAGATATTCGAGATATACGCCCCAAAGAATGTCAAAATATATAGAAGACCTTCCATGATTACTGATGCGGTTAAGCACACCCAGGTGGATGTTTTCAAATACAAGTCCTATCGGGGAAGGACCGCCAAGGTGCTCCGGAAGAAGAAGAAGCTCATTGAGGAGCTGGATAGGCTAAACCCGAGACGTCGCCAAGAAATGAAGAACCTCACCCTGCAGGCGGAGCTCGCGCAGCTGCGCAATTTGGCCACCTTTAACGACGCGCCGGTGAAGGTGGATTCATTGGAAGGTGCAGAGGCTGATGCGCCAAGCGGTGTGGCCAACTCCACGCTGGGCACCACGCCGGGCACCACGCCAGTCGCCCCGCTCATTGGAGACAAGATCGACATAGAAAGCATCACCCATTATTTGTAACTCCGTCAACCTTTTCTCTTCAACTTGTCTCTCTTTTTGATAGCGTCCCTCCGCAAGGTGGATTAATGCTATCCGAAATGGACATGAATGGTTGGGAAAAGCAGGGGCAGCCATATCAGGGCAGCCATATGAGGGTAGCCACCTCGGGGAAGCAGCTCGGGGTGTGCCTGTGTTCTCCGTGTGGTCGCCATTCCGCTGCTACTCCGCGGGGAGATTATCCTGAAGGTACAAATCCAAGTCGCTCTTGTATATCTGGTCGGGGAGCGTAAACAGGATAAGGATGTTATTCTTGTCCACAGAGACAAAGTTGTTGATTTTGAAAGGGTTGAATTTAAAGATCTTGATATATTTGCAGCCATATGTGAACACGCAGTGGTGCTTGCTCTTGTTCACGTCAAACAGATTAATAATGCCTTTGTTATTTAGAGACCCGATATAGTTAAAGCCTTCAATGTTACACCAAAAAAGGGAATGAATAAATGTGTCAGAATTGAAGAAATCTTCATTGTAGTAATTATTGTATGAATGGTCGTAGAAGTAATTCACATTGGTGGTGCTGCTGTACTCTCCATTCTGTACAGACGTCTGGTAGGGCTCAAAGTAGGCGTCGTTAATGCTATAGTTATTGTACGAATTGTCGTGCATAACTTTGTACGGCAAGTTGTTATTAATAAATCGCAAGTCAAAGAGCAATATGTTATTTAGCGAACTCATGCAGATCAGATTGTTGTCATCGTTATTGTATTTGTCGATATCTGAAATTTCATATTTGGTGATTTTCTTGTGCACAGAATAGACATTCACGTTGCTTCGGGGTTGCACACCGGGTTGGATGTATCCACTGGGATGGAAGTATCCACCTGGTCCGCCTCCTCCACTGCCGACACTGTTGACGATGTTGCCGCTGTTGTCGCTGTTGACGCTGTTTCCACTTCTGACGCTCTTATTCCTCATCCTGATGTCAAACAGGGAGAAGTAGCCACTGTACGTGGAACCTATGACTAGCGAATCATACAGCCACCTCACATTGCTATACAGCTCATTGGTCTTAATCGAGATGTACGGATTCATTTTGGACACATTGACGTGATCGTTCTGGTGTTTATTTTCGCTACTCCTCTCAGTGTCACCATTAATGTCGTAGATGAATATGTTCTTATCATCCCCATTGCTGAGAAGGTAATTATTTTTGAAGAAGAGTCCTTTTCCTGTTTTGTTGTGTCCAACCAGTTCCAGTAGCAATTCCCCATCACATATTTTTCTGTCCTTTATTTTTTTCTTATATCTCTCGGATGATTTGTTTTTCCTACTTTCATGGTTACCCCAATTTTGTGGGGATCCATTTTTTCTATTAACAATTTGTGCCTTTTTTTTGAAGCGCCTTGGAGGGATGGTCTTTCCCCCCTTATGCCTCCGTTGGGCGTTACACTGTTGTCCTCTCCCTTCCTCCTTGTATTCCTCTGCTTCGTCTTCCTCCTCCTGCATTGGGCTACTAGCTCTGCTACTACAGCTGCTCCTACCGCCGCTACTGCCGCCTCTTCTACCGCTGCTACTATCGCTTCTAGCACCGCCGCTACTTCCCCTGTCGGCGCATCCTCCCCCCTGGGTAGCATTCCCCTTGTAGTCTACTTCACCGGGCATAGTGGCTTCCCCATCTTCACTCAATCTCCTATCCACAGCCTCATCATCTTCCATCCTGTTAATCCGATGGATGGTTTTTCCAATGTTGTAGAGAAATATACTCCCCCCTATGGACTTACTCGCTATGATCACGTTTGCTGCGTCTCCCCCGCAGTTCGTTTCCACTGAGTTGCTCACCCCATCCCTGCCGCAGTATAGGATGCTCGAATTCGTGCAGTAGTATGGAAGGTTCAAACAATTGTACCGTTTGATAACTGGGATATGCTTATATTTATTTTTATAATATTTTTTAAAAGAATTATCAATGGTGTTATCGTTAAGGGATGAGGAGTAGAAGATTTCTTTTTCGTTTTTCTTGTTTACTTCTTCCTTTGTGACCACTCGTAGTATGCTCATTTTGTAATGGTCTCTCCTACTGGAGTTATGAAAAAGGACAATGCCTTCATTTAAGTACTGGTAGTTTTTCTCCCTCATTTTGCGATTCATATTTAGGACATCAATATTGCTTACATTGCTATATACGTTGGTTATTAAAATGTCTGAATAGAGATCTATCATATTTTTCCACCAGAGACTGAGGAGGATGTCTTTCTTTTTGTAGTGGTCGTACACGAGGGTCTGCTTCGTGAATGCTTTGCTCACAGAATGGAGAGAGTACTTTTTGCAGTTCGTTTCATTATTAGGGAGGTGTACCCCTGTTTTACTGTCACAGTTAAGTCTGTCTCGATTGAGCTGACCTTTTCGCAAATCGTGGATGGTTCCTGATTCGTCTACATTTTCTTCCCTCGTCATATATTTGGAGGAGCAGGACAGCGAGGAGTCACTTCCATCGTTGGAGTTTCCATCAGATTCTTCTTCGTGTGCATTTTTGTCTGCTTCGTTTTTTTTGCTTCTCAACTGGTACTTACTCTTTCTCAGCGTGTTCGCTCTTTCGTTTTTCTCACACCCGTCTGGCTGACACTTGTTTAGCTTCCACCCCCTGGTGTGCTTCATATTTTCCCCTACCGTTTTGGATAACCTGTTGTTTGGATTGGCGAATGCTTTTTGCTGTCCCCACGATTCAGGGGGGGGGTTATCTTCGGCTACGTTATGCAATATGCACTACTACCACTGCTACTTCTACTTGTACTACTTAGCAGCCTCCTTTTTGCGAGCTCAGCCCAGGCTTGCGCAATGCCCCCGAAAAGCATCTTCTAAGGGATGGTTGTCCTTGGAATTGCCATCAAGCCGTTTGTTCACATTTGAGTCCACTCGAATTTGCCGACCTTGTCCCCTCCCCGTTTACGCTGATCCCCCCGTTAACTGTTTTTATAGCAATTTCCATGGCCTACTTGAAGCCGCCCTGCTTCACGCCTGCTTGCCACTGTGCGGGTCACCGTGATCGTCACCGTTGTGGCACGTTAACCCTTTATGAGAATCGATTTTCCCCTTAGAGGTGGAGTTAATTAGTTTATTAGGGACTTCCACTGAAGGAAGTCCATCGTGATACACGTGGCTTCGAAATCGTGGTGACAGTTTTTTTTTTTTTTTTTTTACTCGCACAGAATGTTACTTAGACGAATCGAGTACAAATTGGGGAGAGAGAAAAAAAAAAAAAAAAAAAGGCGGCGGAAATTGAAAATGAGAAAAAGAAGCGATCTTTTCCACTTCCCATAAAAAGGTAAAGAAAAAAAAGTAAATAAACCCAATGCAGATTTAAAAAAAAAAAAAAAATCACCACATAGATAAATATATGATCTGATATGCTTAATTAAGTGTATATCTAAACAGTGGAGGGGGGATAATAAAAATTTCGAATTTGCGTACATATGTTCGTCCTTTCCCCCCTTTTTCCTACCCCATTTTAGCCAGAGCTATGTTAAGGAGGAAGGGAAAAAACACGCCAACCTACCACATTTTGTCACCACTTATCTAGCGTTGTCCCTTCCGTTCCGCATCGAAAGGGATGAGGAGCCATGAAAATAGCAACGTAAAAAAAGGCAATACGCTGCGGCCCAGTGAGAGAGTTCCGTCCCTCCTCCACCGTCACACCTCTATTTGTCCATGCGGTTATCCGTAATTGCACTGAAGTTGTTTCAGTTCAGAAAATCTTTTATGAGCACACCAGGAGTTTCAAAGTAGACACCGCGCTGGGAGATAAAAAAGGGGCGAAAACGCACATCCATTACGAGGGTGCAAAAAGAGGAAGGCCTAGAAGGCAAACCATAAGAAGCACAACGGGGGCAAACAGAAGAAGCGCAACGGGGGAAAACAGAAGAAGCACAACGGAGGCAACCAGAACGCACACAAGTATACACCCCAAAAAAATGCAGGCGTAACGAAAGATCTACCTAGCACGCACACCTCTTTGTCCTCGTACAAGCATAGACGGGAGTTTATATAATTGGAGGAGAAAACACAAACACAGTGGGGACGTTTCCGTTGCCATATTTTTCTTCACACCTCGGAATATCATACCCTCCTACGCCCGGTGAGTGGAAAGATCAACTTGGGACATACCACCCCCCTCGCATAGAGACTAAGGGGATGTCTCTTCTCCGGACAATAAGAGGGAATCATCTGACGAAGGGACGTAACCGCCAGCCGTAGCCCCCCCCAAAATGATTCCATTCTTTAAAATCGGAATCGTTCTAATAAGACAAGTAAGCAAACCCATATCAGGATACATAAAAAAGAAAGCTATAGAAAATAAAAAATTTAAAGGCATATGCATATACTGTGGGAAGAAGTATTACTTCTTCGAGCAGTACATTCAGAAAAAATTCTACAATGCAAATGCCACCAACGTTAACTACAGCTCCTATATCAGTGAGAACAAGTCTGTGAATGTAGGCAGTGAACTCCTAGGAGAGACTATAATTTTCCTAGTGGCAGCACTAATCATTGTGGCTGAATACAAAAGGAATAGTCTGAAGGAGGCGAAAAAGGAAATGCTTTTAAACCATAAGCTGGAAACACTCAAATTACAGGTCCTCGAATTGCAGAAGGAAAATGACGAAATTATGAACGTCGTTTTTCCCAATAGGAAGAATGTGCGTGATAGTAGAAGCTTCCATCTTGCGCACTCCAATTTCTTTAAAGATTTTTACAACAGAATTGTGGGCAAGGCCGGGGATGATCAGTCCGCGCAGGGGGAGCAGCCAGATAAGGACAAAACGCAGGGGTAGCGGGAGTGCAGCGGTAAAGGAACCTCCGACGTCGCAGACGTAGAACCGCATAACAACCCTCATTCAAATGAACGTTGAACTGGGGAGGTGCCCACGTAAGGGCTTCCACATATTTGTGCATCTGAATCCTTAGCGACATCTCAAATGCTATGGGGCGCGCGCGGCGGGGAGGCCGCTAGTTTTTTTTTGTCACATTGGTTTGCCAATGGCGGGTGGAACACGCATGAGCTGGATTATGGCAGTATGATCGCTTCACCTGAACGG